CTGTCACTTGGAAGACATTTTCCAACAATGCAATTTGTTACATAGCCCACATGGCATTGACTCTCAATGACACACAGCGTATGCACACTGTACACAATGAGCAGTCTTTGGCAAGACGCCTATAGCCATGTCCTCTGCCGTCATGTCTCAGCATTTCACTGCATTGCTGATGTTTGGGCATAATATATGTCTATAAAGGCTCAGACTTCTGTGCTTTAGGTTTATGCTATCAGTCAGTTTCAACTAGAGTAGCAGTTCTCATATTCAGGCCAGAGACAATTAGCAACCCCATTAAGCACAGTTGATTCCTTTGAGGTGGTTGGACCAAAAGCAGCATGCACACTGGGAGCTGGTGTTATGAAGCATCTCTGGTCCAAGTACTGCCTCTGCTGCTCACCGTTACATGAACCACTTGACCTCCACCTGAGTCAGCTAAACAGACAGGACCATGGCTGCTTGTTTACGCTCAGATTTAGCTTTTGGGGAAAATTTGAGGAGCGTGTGTCTGCAGTTTGCAAGCTTAGTCATTCTGGTGTCACCTGTGAGTAATGAGGTCTCAGTAGTTTGCCAGTTTCGTAAGAAGTTGGTTGAACTGCTGTAGCATGTAGACCTTATTTATATCACTAAGGTTACTTACTTTAGAAAGGAGTTCCCTGTTCTTACAATTGCAAATAAAACCAAATGAACTGTGGGTTATGAAAGATGTTTGTCCTGCAGGTATTCAGCTCATATTTGTTGTAGTTACCAGTAATGTTACACACATGAACATCTCAGTGTTTTAGACTGTGTTAACTGCCAACATGTGTTTGTCCGTTGACTTACAATAGTAGAATCACAATAGGTATTTGGGCTATAATCAACTAAGAAATTCTGGGCTAAAGACATTCTACATTCTTCAGTTTGTCATCTAAATTAGGTGTGATGCAGTCTTTGAAAGCTATTTTGTATCTCTATGAGTTGACCCTGCATCTGCCCTGAACTACACTTACACAACACAATAACAGTTATGCAGAAATAGTATAAGTAATATTAACACTAACTACACATACGAAAATTGACATTTAACACTTGATTCAGCTAATTCACAACTTCACTTCATGCCATCTCTTTTCTGCTGCTTCGCATATAAATATTTTGTAATCCCAGTATAGTAATGACTAAAATATTAATGTTAACTGACTTATTGACCAAATGGCTAAATGCTTACTGTCCTAATAGTTATTCATTAAAACAACTGTTTCCTACACTGTCATTAGATGACATGTGGTTTTGAACTATCTACTTATTTGTTCATTATAAATGAACAGAAAAACTCTGAATAGCACAGTTTTGCCGTTGTGGATAACTGTATTTCTGCTGTAAGATAAAAGCCATTATTTTATTATTTTTAAGGCTTTGGAATGAGGTGTGTGTTCAATAGCACGCAAATATGTTACCCTCACCAGTGATAAGCCAAAAAATATATAGACACAGAGAAAAAATACTAAACATGTCTGGGTTCAGTTCTTCCAAGGACATTGCCGAGAGAAAACTTGAGATACGAAAGACACCACTTTGTTGAGGATGTGCTATTCTCCTTTCGTTCCAGCAGGTGGCAGCACGTCCACGATAAATACACCAGTTGTCTTTGTAGTAGTGGGGAGCTTAGACCTACAGCGAAATGGTCTCTGGGGAAACCATCGACTTTGATTCATAGCTCCTAGTATTCAGACATATTTGTTATGCTGCCGTCTACACTACTGTAATCCACAGCCTGTATACATTGTTGCAATTAAGCAGCACCATATGTTAAATTCTTTATTATAGTTACATCAATCGATCTGTGCAGCAAACATACACATATGTGAGACATGCAAAGCCTTTTGAATAGACAGTTCAAGTATTATTCCCTTCTGTGTTAGAATGCAGCATCACTTGTCTTTGTATGAGGTGGAAGCCTTGCAGATTCTCATTTGGGAATACTTTATCTTTTCTTGACAAAGATGTATTGTCTTGTGTCTCTGTAGTGGGGCTCGTCCCTTGTTTTTCACATAATAGCCTACTATAAAAGCATGTATTGCATTTTAAACTTGCATGCTAGCTGCTCTTGCCTCAGCAAAGCTGATGCTGGTGATTTGAGTATATCACTTTGCTTGGAATGCACTAGTATTTGTGAGGTTATTAACTAAACCTAAAAAATGTACTAGGGGTAGGTAATATTGCCAAAAAATAATATGAATGAATGGATGAATGTTTTAGCAAACCATCCAAAATGTGAAAGTATCAAGACAATGCGCAAATTAGTAAAATTAACCACAAAAGTGCAAATATAATTACATATCTCTATTTAAAATATTATCTTGCAAGTTTTTTTTCTTAAACAATGTGTAATTGTGTCGACTCAACCCTTTGCCTGGTTGTTATCAAAGTCCTACCTGTCTAGGGCCCATAGTTGCTATGCTCGGCTTCAGTCCTTCACAATTTCAATTAGCAATAGTTGGAAGAAGATTAATGTATGTTTTTCTGGTACTTAATTATTTGCCTTATGTACACCTGCAGTATTGCATGAACGTGTTTCTTGTTGTGGAGAAAAGCTCTAATAGAGTGTATCTGCTGTTCTATCTGCCCCCTTGTTTCTCTGTTCCCTGCCTCATAGCTTTGAAAGAGCAACAGCCCTTGAGCATGGACCACTTTGATCTATTGTATCCAAATGTTACATAAGGGAGAAGCATGCACAGCCAGACAGCAGCGGTGGAACCACACATCTCCCCCCATCTATCTCTCCCTTTGGTTCGGAGGAGCGGGTGTCAAAGTCAGTCCTAGAAAAAGCCTGTAAATGTTTCATGCCGTTTCATCAGTGGGAAGAGAGAGGTTTGCGGTGCTGCTGAGAATTTCACATGTCCGTTTCTCCCGCTGTGTGAGATGTGGGCTTTTCCCGATGCATAAACAGCCACATAATGCATAAAAGATTTCCAATGACATATCTCAACTCAGCAACTATTGGGCCAAGTTTTAATCATGTATATCTTATGCAAAATGATGCTGCTACACGTTCATTCATTTTCTGTTTCATTTTCTATTACTATAGTATTACAATTACCGGCTGGCAGTATGGTCTAAATTACAAAAAATATAGTTTGGAAGGTATATAAAGTTTGGCTATTGAGCATATTATCAAATAACATTAGGGCAGGATAAATTATATTTATACTCCAACCAAGACATTTACAGGCACTTTTAGCACATTTCTGATGTATTACAAAATGTTAAATTTGTCAGTTTCATCCACTAATTGCAACCTGTCACTTTGGCATTGCCTGGACAGACACTGAGAGACAAACCACAACCATATCACTCTTGCATACATTCACTATTTTATGAAAACTGCAAATTCACCCATATACATGTTTTATGGTCAGAAATTATTCTAGAAATGATGTAGACAGGAATATGCTTATATTCATTATTCATTGCATTAAATAGTATAAGGAGTGACAAACAATGGTGTCCTGGTGCAAGAGACACGTCTGAATAAATCAATATGAGACAGCCCTAAAGCAATAGTTGCTGATTTCCGTTTGTCTAGAACATAATATTATCACACATTATGCAGAAATTTGGAGATACCAAGCAGGACTGATGCAACTGATAAAGAAAGTCAGAACAGAGCTTTTATGTTTTCAGTAAAAGTTCAGTTTTATGACACCCGCAAGATGTACTGGCTTGTGTATGGTGAACATTAGTGCTCTTTGTGCTCGTGTCTTCACAACTTATTGTTACATGTTTTCATTTCATGTGATTTCTCTGTAAGCCCCTGATATCACACACAGCAAGCCCCTGTCTTTAATGTACCATTTTATTGCATGACAAACCTGTTGCAATTCACTGTTTGAGTATTTCAGATAGACGTTTGTCTCTGCATGGCTCTGTGTCCCCGACGCCTATTGTGCATGTAAGACTTCAGATTGAGCTTGATTAGGATTGCTTTTTCATGCATTCTGCCTACGGGACAGCTCTGATAAAATGGTCGGCACTAAATGCAATTCGAAGAGAGATTCAGACCACCCCTTCCCCACTTCCAAGCGCCCCTCCTCTCTTTTACATAAAAAAAATACCTTTTTATTTTCTCTCCTCCGTGGCACATAAATATCCAGATCAGATAGCTTATCTTGGGTCATGAGATGCCTGTGAGAATTCCTAATACGAACCTCAATCACGTATGATTGCGTTCAGAGTTAGATAGAGGGAAGAGGGGAGGAGGGGGGCTGCTCCGGGGGAGAGCTGGACCGATTCACTTCGTTCACAGTCGGCGATGGAACAGCAGCTTCGGTTCGGTTTGGGTTGCGCATGGGAAAAACGTCAAAGAGGCTTCATAAAGAACGTTAACACGGAGAAGGAAACGGTGCACAGTGGCACTGCATTCCACTACAACTAATTGTTGCTTTACGGACGCTTTCCTCGGTCTTAAATCACATCTCCGCCGCATCCTTGCAGAGTATCCTTTGGCTGCTCATTCTCTTTTCCAGCTGCATTTTCAATGTAGACGGCAGATCACAGGCTCGTTGAGAGGTCCGGGACAAGGACAGCACTGGGGACTGACGGAGTAAATCATTTAGGAGAGGAAAAAACTTCCTCTCAAGCAGATCGAGCGTTTGAGTCGCATTGCCAGACGTATTCACCTGGAATACCTGAACCTCTCCAATGACGCGCGGCTGCATTAACTTATTAAGACTGTTGCATGTCATTTTCATACAAGATCCCGTGGGCCGGAGGCCTATAGCATGTAAATAGATTTATTTATGTATCATATGTGAGCCAGGTGTGCGCTGACTGGCAACTCTGCTGCTTCGCTACTTCTGAAAGGGAGCAATGCATTGGACTTGGAGGATTTTCTAAACGGAGCAGGATGACGTTTGGGTAGAAAAGCTTCACTTTATGGACTTTAAATTTTTGTTGCATTTATAGTCTGCACTACATCCCACATCTGCTCATAAAATCAAGGCTTTTCTTCAATCGGGGAGATGGCTGCAATCGCCAGCTCCCTGATTCGCCAGAAACGTCAGGCGAGGGAGTCCAACAGTGACCGGGTGTCTACTTCCAAACGGCGCCCCAGCCCCAGCAAAGACCCCCGATCTTTGTGTGAAAGGCATTTCTTGGGGGTCTTTAGCAAAGTGCGTTTCTGCAGCGGCAAGAAACGACCAGTCCGCAGGCGCCCAGGTCAGTCCGTGTGTGTGCGTTTTCCCCCTTTCTGTAATGTGTGCGTTATGGATGAGGGGACAGAGCGGTTTCCCCCATCCCTCCACACCCTCTCCCCCACCCCACCTTTTTATCCTCCTCCTCCTCTCTGTGGAACATAGCATAGGCGTTTTATACTGCAGTCAAAGGCTTCCATTCGAATACCAGTGAGAGCGATTGTCCTCCGTTACGCGTAAAGTCCACCTGTTTCTTTACGTCCTCCCGGTTGTCTGTAGATGCCCCCTGCACTGGACATAGCTCAGCCAGGCAACACGTTACACATGGCATGTAATCTCTTATACTCATATTTCTCTACGTTTAACCACACTTATAGTAATTGTTGCTCTCACATCTAATTGAATATGTCCATGCACCGCTTTCAAATGCCTAATTCAATATTAATGTATATTGGGTTTCTGAGGGGAGATTAGTTGCACCGCAGTGCACCAAGGCTCTTTTGAGATTAAATGTTTTTAAAGGTAAATGTTTATTGCAGAGGGGGCTTTTACTGCAGTGGGAGGTAAAGCCCCAGTCATTAAGATCTGCTATCATACGGAATGACAGTAGAATGACAGTGGAATGAGCCCCTATACTCTATACGCAGTATTTATATTTTCTATTGTATACCGCTTTCTGAGCCTTTACCTTTTAAACTGTCCGTTCTATTGTGTTGTGTGTATGTCTGACACACAAAAGGACAGACATTTTGGAGACGACTAGGGAGACAGCCAAGAAGACCAGACAGAATTTAAAAAACCCATATGGTGACATCAGGCGGCGATGCTGCAGCCAAAAGTGAGAGAGATGACTAAACGTGAGAACGTGAAGCTCTAGGACACTAAATCAATTTACATCTACAGCTCAATATTACCATAGCTTATAACATTCTCCTTTATCCTCAATGTTTTTTTTGTATGCAAATAAGATATTGCATGACAACTTCTTTCTGAATTCTGCCTGTTGTTTTTCCTTCTGTCCCTTCCCCCTTCGTAAGATGCACCCTCCAAACCTCCACAGGTGTCCCATAAGGGCTGCAGGCTAGGTCAGTAGCTCAGCCTCCATCCGTGTGTGATGCTGTGTTTTTTTCTTGCTTTATTTTATTTTTGATTCCTTCTCGTCTCCACCTTCATCCCGCGCCCATGCCGACACTCCCGGCCTATGGAAGGATGGGAGGGCACAGGAAAGGGGTGGGCATGATCATGGGCTCTTGACACTTGTCCTAAACAAACAGCGACCCCCTCCTATCTACTGACCGGTGGAAATCTTTGTTTCTTTATTCGGTGTCAAATTTTATGTTTTCTTGAAAACCCCCTTATCAAACACTTGTGTCCTTTGAGTCGCATTTGGCTCTTTCATTTCGTCCATTGTCAGTCAGTCAGTCAGTGTTGGACCAGTCTTGAACCTCCTGCTTATTGTTCTTTGTTTAAATATGTGCCACTGTGAAGTACTGTTTAAGTTGTTGTGTTTTGATGTATGTGGTTGGTTATAATGTGTCTGGCAATACAAAGTGTTGATCATTCACTCTTTCACTATCATGGTGCCATTTGTTTCACGTGTTCTTGTCCTTCCTTGTGTATTGGTATAGTAAGTATAAGTAAAATTTCTGATGACACAGAGGTTTGAATACATTTTTGTTTTTTCACAATGTTATTTGATGACAAACACAGCATACAGCAAAGCTACCAGGCATCAAAGGCAAGTCAAAACAAAATGTGGGGTTGCTTAACAAATCATAAGGAAGGTAATCCTGCAGATGCCAGCACACTCTTTAAACCCCCTGCAGTAGTTCAGAGCAGCTCCTCTGCACTCCACTGGGAGAAGCTCTCTCTGTACCACCGGCTCACACTGTTTCCACCAAGACAGTTACAAGATGGTCAACTGCGTGAAACCAACCAGCGAAACACTGGCTTTTCCGAATCAATTTCATAGAATGGTTTCACTAAACATGTGATTCTTTATTTTTTAGTTTTATTTATTTTTACTTGTTAAAAATACAGCATAAGATACATTATACAATAGAAAGTGATGGATGGTTACAAAAACCGTCAGGGGGCCTAACATGTTACAGCCTCCATAAGGAGGTTAGCCACTGAGAATTTTTTCTTACATTTGTAACCATAAAATGTAATATGCTAACTGAGGAGGGCTTAGACACAATTTAAGTGTATTATTGATAAAATAACAGATTATTCATTTTTTTTTTCTCCATTTTATTGAAATATTGCTGCTGTTGTTTTATAAATGGTGTTTTGGCATGCAGCTTTAGACTCTGCACAGTCCAGATAACGATTAGCGTTGATTAAATAGCTAAGGATTATTTCAAAAGTCGATTCGTCACAATTATTCTGATGAATCGTTGCCTACTCAGCCCTACTGTAAATGCCATTGGGAACATGACTGATATAAGCTCTGAAGTGTGACTTTGTTTATGCTCTATCTCCCGCACATGCATACACACAAAGCACACTCTGTCCGCTAAATGATTGGAACTGATGAGGCGTCAGCCACTGCTCTGCCCCACGTTGGGCCCTAATTTATGGATGTGTAGTTATCCTCATGATTTACAGCTCTGTATACGCTCCCATGTGCTTTCACTAACACTAGAGCACACATGGTTGCACATGCACATCCTCTGCACCTCCACGCCCCCCTGTCCTGTGATGGATGATGAAAAGGCCTGTCCCAACAATTGATGGTCCCACCGCAGGGGTAGGTGAGTGAGTGGGGAGGTGATGGTCACGGTAATGAGGAGAATGTAACAACGAGTCACATCTTCCAACAGACTTGGATCCTCTCCACTAATGTTAACTCAGTCTGGGTGGTTTAAGTACTCATTGTCAGCATCACCAGGTAACAGTGGGCCCAAAGCTGTTTTGGCTTTGTCTTGTGAACAACAGCATCTAATTCTTGGCACGACCTTGAGCGGCAATACAAGTCTTTTGACTTTTCATAGCTGATGTACACAGCTAAATACAAGGTATGAACAAGAACATTGCATACGTTTATAAAGTAAACAAAAACAAAGCTATCACTAAACTTATTGTATGTCCCAAGTGATGCATCATTGCTGGTGGTAAGTATTGGGACACACATACTGTATTTGTTCATGATGAAGAGTTATGGGTTAGGCCAATCAAAATTGAGTAGATAGATGGGAAGATTACTGATAATATTGTGAATGTGGTTTTAAAGATGTGCAAAATTTAAATATTGAATGAACTGTTTATTCAGACCCTCTCATATAAAATGTTACAAAAAGTAATGAAAGTACTTCCAAAAAGGGAAAGTGATGTGACATTTTTGCACTTATTTAAAACATTTAGGTCTGTTAAAACATTCACCTTGTTTTAGAAACAGGTCTTTGCACTGGTGAAGTTGAGTATCATCAGTAACTATCTTTATATCTCTGGATTCTACAGAAACACCATGCATAAACTGGCCATACACTCCTGATGCACTTGATGCCTTAATGACAAGAAAGTCAATTAATATAATGAATGTGTTGTGACCCAAAACATCTCTGTCCTACCATGGCAAATACCACTATAGATATTAAAATGGTACCAGATGCTAGCCACAGTATCAGTAATACTCTGAGGTGTTTGACACTTTCCCTGTTGCATGTTTTGGTTTTCATGGCTGGAGGTCCCTTTTTGCCCTGAGCTATTCACAGTTTTCACCTGCCCTGAAGTGAAGAGCACATACAGCATAATGTTGGTCAGGTGCCAGATGTCTCCCCTTCCAAGTTTGAGGTCGCTTCAGGGTTAGAACAAGAATGCAGCTCTGTTTTATTGAGCTTATTAGCCAGATATCTACTTTTGTAGACATGAATATAGCATCCTATTACAACACTCTTGTTGTTTCATACAAAATGACAGACAGCACCACATTATATTATAGGATTGTTGCCACACACTAAGTATTAGAATGGCATCATGATTGTGATAATTGATGTATTTTTGTAATTTTACACTATGGTATAGTACTCTGTGTGTTAATACACTGTTGGCCATAGGTTGGAATAATTTTCCTATAAATTTGGAATCATATTTTTCCTAAGCCCCTTTCCTCTTTTTATTGCAATATTTCCACTTCAGAAATAACTTGGTTTGATTAAGTACTGAGTCACAGTTTCCCTGGTGAAATCAATTACTTGCAGAACATGATTTTTTTATTTTTTTTTTCCTGAAAATGTGATCATATAGAGAGCTTATGGAGTCTGGGGGCTGGAAAAGTATGATTGTGTGGTGTTCTGGTGACCCTTTGCAGTCTCCATGACCATATGATTAGTGCTGTTTTGTGTGTGTAAGTCTCGTGCTGACTCTCTGGTGTGGGTGGGGGCTGTGGTGTGGGTGTGTGTTGCAGAGCCACAGCTGAAAGGCATCGTGACACGACTGTTCAGCCAGCAGGGCTTCTACCTGCAGATGCAGCCGGATGGAACCATCGACGGCAGCAAGGACGAGAACACCGACAGCAGTGAGTGTGCTTAGATTAGACACAATATTAAATAGCAACCAACCACTTAGTCATATGATCTATTTGTACATTTATAGGCACTGTATCATTGTGTGTTTCTTATTAAGTAACCACTGACCTTTTAATATGCCAGTCACTTCAAAAGACCTGTCCCAGTTGTGAATAGCTCAGGGCACTGTGAAAAAAGTGTATTCATACAATCTGATGAATCAAAAATAAAGCTGAAAGTTCTTAAATCACATAGTATACATTTTGCTGTATATGAACAAAAGCCTTTTAAACCATGCAGCGCCAAATTATATCAGTATAAATTTAAATGTTTTGTATGGCGATGAAGCTAACACTTTTAGAAGGCATATCACATGATTAGTCCTAGACTGAACATATTTCATGCACATTCTACATACACAGACAAAAGCAAAATGAGCTGACCTGCTCTCAGGCCTCTGAACCTCTGTGTGTTTGCTGCATGATTATGAGTGGCACACAGTTTTGATTGATTCCCCTCTGAAGCATGTGTGATTATTTCTGCACAACTCACTTCCTGGAAAAGCTATCGGCTAAAACTACCGTAACTGCAATGGTTTTAATTCCTGATGGGAGTCCTGTCACAAAGATTCCTGCTTGAGCCACTTCTTTGCAATATTTCACTGTCCAGCCATCGACTTTCTATAGTGGACTACGGCTGGATAAATAGTCTCCTGGGTCCTGTCGCCTAAGGCCTCACACCTCTCACACTCCCCCCAGAAAACAGCACAGGGAATTTTGACCTTAAAGTACAGGACCAAAATGTTATGCTATTGTAGATGTCTTTCAAAATATCCAAGGACACTATTCAAGATAACAATCATAAAAAATAAATAAATGTGCAGTTAAAAACAGAACAGCAAATATAGCATGACAATAAACATAAGTGTGTGTAAATTACAAAACATAATCTGAACACATACACTGAATTTGTAATGAGGTGAAAAGTAGGAGAGACATTCAGACAATTGTCAGAGCTGGGACTTGAGCTTGCTGAGGCTGGCACAGATCCTATATGTTTTATTTAGAATTAAGGATAGCCCCTTGAAATAAACCATCCTTTTCTTTCTTTATACTTATTAAATGCAGTTTTAGCTCTAAAGCTTTGTCTAGAGCGGTTCTGCGGTCTTCCCCTGTCAAGTATCATTTAGGTTACACAAGGAAGTACTCATTAGGAGCTTACATAAGAGGGATGGAAAAGCCCGCATAATGCTCCTTCACTCCACGCCTATATATCATTTGGCCTGTGCAGCTTTTGTGTTGCATGCAAGGGTTTCCCCACCTCTAGGTAATCCTCTTGTTAAGCAGTCCCACTGGCCCAGAGATGGAAGAATACAGTGAATAATTCAGCCACAGGAAACTAAAAATACCAGCTTCTCCGTTTGTACCAGATGAATTATTCTCTGTGTGCGATGCCTCCAGCGCAGAGACTGTCCGAGCAGAGGCAGCCAAAGAGCAGGTGGTTTTTGTGCGAAGCATTTCCAGTTTTTGGGCTGAGAAAGTGAGACAGAACAACACCTAAGATAAGACAAAAAGGTAACAATAGATTCATGATCGAGGTGTGATACAGTGAGTCACAAGCCAATACCTGCAATTTGATATGCAGGTCTCGCAGCAGCTATTGATTGTCCAGTCGTATTATTGGAATAATAGATTAGCCCACTCTTGAACCATGTCACTTTCTGACCTGCAGTATCCGCAGAACAGCAGTAGATGGAATACAGCCATTTGTTTCAGCAGAGTCAAGAGTGAAGGACCTATGGTGCTGCCCACTTCCTGTTAGTACTTTTCATTTGCCTTAAATTATAGGCCCATAGAAAAAGAAGAATGTAGAAAATGCCTAAATAAGTAAATTAGAAGGACAGACTCAAATGAAAGTAGATGTGGACAACTTGCCTCTTTTGATTATTCCTTTATAATAATAATAATTATAGCTGCATTCTTAATTCCACACTTTTGTGATTTAGTTGATAGCAGTCTGTAAAAAGAACTGCAAAAGTGTAAAACCTAAAACATGCGCAATAATCTATAATGCCCAAAGTAGCTATAGTCTCACTAAAGATTGTGAGATAGGTGCTGCTTTGCTCCTGACAGATTGCCCAGATGGATTGAAGGAGGGGTCAAATGTAGAGGACAGCTTTTCCTATGGGGACCAGAAAGTAGGCCTGGCACGATAACAAATCAGCAAAGCAGGATATGTTGCTACAGAGAAATATTTTGCAAAAAAAACTATAATACTGAAACTACATTAGGCCTCTGACACAATAAAGCTGGATAATTCCAAACCATTTTTAAATAAGAGAGTATCATTTAAAAGCAATGAAATCCACAAATAATTAAAAGAATAACCCAGTAATTAGCCATAGAAGTTACTTTTTCAAACTTTTGCAGCTCAGATCTTATTGTATTACAACAAAAATAACAAACATCTCACAACTGTGGCAAAGAAAATGTACATACGATAAATATTGAGTCCCAAAATATATTGTTCTAGCCTTCATGTATTAAACGATAAGTCTATATAATAATTATCACAACAGGCCTATCAGAAAGTCTACCTTAACATTAATCCTTCAGGCAAATTCCTTTATTTATTCTGATTTCAACAGTTATTTAATCATTAACAGTTGATTGATTGCAGTAATTACCCGTTTGCATAAAATGGCAGAGTTGTTTAAGAGACACCTGCCATCATCATCCATCTGTTTCCAATTCCCGTTTTATGCATGGTTTGGGCCAGGCATCCTCTTTGTTTGACGCACAGTAACCAAAATACACAGCACGGAAATAAGCCTGTATGGGAGCTCTGCCGTCTTTGTGTCTGGATGGTTTTTGGAGAGGTGCCATTGGCTTCTAAACCTTCTTGTAGATGCAGGGGCTTTCTACGCTTCAAATCAAAGCCTACCTGCTGGATTACCTTGTAGCCGATTAGCGCCTGAATGAAAAAAAAAAAAACTTGTCTGGCTCTGTATTGATGGTAGTTCTATAGAAGTCTCCTGCCCGGACTGAGAAAGATACGATTGGGGTTATTAGGGGAGAGGAATGGCCTTGGGAGCAGTCCTCAGGTACGCTAAGAGCATCTAATTGTAGTATCCATCAACCTGTGCTTGTGCAAATAGAAAAGCAGAACATTTAGTATAGAGCTGAGCATCTCCTGACATCTCCTGTCACCAGTGTAATTTTTTGGCAAGCAAACGAGATTGGGGAACAGCAGATTGCAATTATAACAAAATAGCATTGTAAAGCACCATCTATTCTGTCACTCCAAGCAAGGCTATTATGGTAATGGTTTTAGCAACGGTTTCAGCACAAGTAGGACTGCACCAAAAAGCTTGAATTTATTTGAGTGGAGGAGCTTTGGGGTGAAGCGCAGCTGGATTTTAGCGAGACGTGACAGGATTTTGGACAGTGCCTCAGAGACACTGGAAGCAGAAGCCATGAAAGGAAAATGAGATGAGGGTCAGTGAGAGAGAGACAAAGCGTCATAAATAACAGTGCAAGAACCAGGACTAGCGTTTAAAACAAAATGGATTCATATATAACTTTTAGGGCTTAAACTTTGACAGAATAGTAGCAATTACAGTAGTGGTAGTAGTAAGAACGCTGTAATTTCACGCAGTCAACGAAATCCCTCATTCGTCCAGGAGTCGTCCTATAGAAAAGGTTTTAAAGGTAGTAATCTGAACCTATTATAACCTATTATCTTAATATGATTTATCATGATAGTATATCTAGCATGTATTATTTGACAGTTATTGTAAGCACACACTAATTTGTTAAACTGATGCATTTAAAAATTTTAAATGTTAAAAATGCTAAATTTTGATTCAAATTTGTAGTAAAATATAAACAGTAGTTACATTTACGAAGGTGATTATCAAGTATTTTGCCAATATCCACATGTGTTTCTTTTGGTCTTTTGGAAGTATTTTTATCACTTGTGCATATACTTCAAATAGTCTTCTAGTAACTACAAATGATAAACACGTAAAACGCAGTAAATTAAGGGATGTTAAATCCATTGTGTTATTGACAGTCCAAGACAGCACAGGTGCCCTACAGACCTTTAGGTCAAACAAATGAAACTATCATTTGTTTGACCTATGCAGCATCATAATAAGGACAGGTTGTCACTGAGACATGATAAGAGCCATTTGTGAACTTGAGCCATGATATATACAGTATAGGCAATCGGCAGGCTGTTAGCATTAGCTGTGTATCACCTGCAACAGTGGCCCGGGGGCAGCTTTCAGTCATTGGCAAGCGGAAGGAGCGTGTCGATATTTATTGAATGAAATTGAATCCGCTCAGAGGACGCACCCGTGTTGGCACATCTCCTCCGGCCTCTGCCAGCTTTATCTGATAGTCCCCATCACCGCTTTCAGAACAATCATTCAAACAGCTCTTCGTCATGGGCGTCCTCACACCCTCGCCACTGTCAGCTGGGCAAAGTCATCACACTTTAGACAACTGCTAATACCAGTGTGAAAACAGATCAATAGCAATCATCGCCATGTAATACAGTAACAGGTGTTTTGTCGGTAGATTAGGATAATGCTGAAAGAACAATGCGGTTATGAAATGAGCAACAGAAAAAAAAACATGCACATTTTTGTAATTACACACTCTATATGAACATTGGAACTAAACCTCAAATTAAACCAGGACTAGAAAAAGACTGAATCAAGCCTACACCAGGACAACTGTGAATGCAGCCATAATAGCGTTGACTAACATATTTACTTTTTCATAATTCATAATAATAATTATTATACAATTATCAAAATAATAATTCATACTTTACATAATTTATAACATGACTTAAAGGTTGTATAGAAGAGTTTCCAAGGAAAGAGAAATGCAGCGACTGTCCTTTTTTAAATGTTGCGCTTCGCTCTTTTTCCCCTTCTCTTCTTCTTTCAGTGACATCAAAAATGGACTTTCTTTTGCGGCGAACTGGTCGTGAATTCTTGCCTGCCGTTGAAACAAAATTTGTGCAAACTGAAAGGAAGCAACAGTTCGAAAAAGGCGCCAAGAACCGCTGTGCTGGTTGAGTAAATGGCATCAGGGCGTGAGAGGCGAACATAAACCACGCAATCCCAGCGTGTCGGCAAGTCAGAAACGTGGAGAGTTTGATTGACAACCTAACAGCCAATAGAAAAAGAGGGAGCCTCGTTGTCTATTGGCTGATATTTATCTGCCCCCACCACATCCACAGTTGATGGATTTTCATTTTTTATTTTTATTTTTTTGGTCATCATAATTACAAGGCTGCTGCATCTCTATAAATCTATTTTGAACTTTCATTGACAATTTGAAACAAAAAAGAAAAAAAAATCCTCCATACAACCTTTAACGCTCCCAAGAGTCAATTTTGCTTAATATAGGACCTTTAAATCTGTTTTCACTATGAATTCTAGTGTTAAAAGTGTTTTCTTCTTCTCTCTCTCTCCTCTCCACTGTGTAGCCTTGTTCAACCTTATTCCCGTGGGTCTGAGAGTGGTGGCCATCCAAGGTGTCAAGAGCGGCTTCTACATCGCGATGAACGGCGAGGGCATGCTCTATAGTTCGGTAAGACAAAGTCACTCACGCTGTGTTTTGTGCTACTTTGCAAAACTTATTCATTATAGCACAGACACATCCTCTTTAATCCTCTCTCTGATTCAAGTGCTCTTCATGTGTGGTGTCTGCACTTTCACACTTCTTCCCATCCTTTGTTGTTGTTGTTGAAGCCGCAAGCAGCATGTTGTACGTTTAATTAGGGATGCAGCACCCCAGCCTTTTCAGTTTTGACACCGATATCATTACTATAGTACAGCTTTAAGTATCTGCCAACACCCGATATGAACCGATTCTAGAGCAGCATTTAGTTCCTTTAAACAAAACTAAAGTAAGACAGAACTGTTCCAAATGTGTTATGGACCTGTTATTTATCTCTCAAGAAAATACAGAACAGCTTGTATAAATAAATGTTCAAACACAATGAGACTGTCTGGGCCAACAATGACCAGTAAATAGTCTTATAAAAATAGTCAGTTCATATGTCCAACCAGGATATCGACTGAACTAATATTTGGAAGTCAATATCCAATACACTAAATTTCTCAGTATATCTAATATCAGTATCGTATCGATGCATGAACTTGTATGCTCACACCATTTTTGCAAAAGCGTTTTGTTTTGCTGCCTGCCTGGTGACAGAGGCTCATTAAGTTGAAATTGTAAAGAGTAATAGGACTGCATTTCATTGTGTTTTGATTTAGGAGATATTGTTGTTTGAGTCATTAATTTTTGCTGTAACAAAATACAAAGAAACAAACTTTCCCTGAATTTTAATACATTGACTTTTTCACGTCGTAGCAAGAGGTCAGGTATAGCTGGTAGAAATTCTTGCCCACACAGGGCCTTCTAAAAATAATCTTTTAGTCCAACACTGTCAAGTTGAGTCAAAAATCAATAACACGAATATGGTAGAAAAGTCAGTAGTTTTAGTTTGTTTTAAGTGGTATTTGTATAAAGCACAAACCTATTTCCAGAGAGGAACTGCGTATATAAAAGTCTAAATAATTGAATCCCATGTCAATATACTCCCTGGACATGCCCCGGGCAAAGATAATTGGAGAAGGAAGCAGTTGTCTACATCCATGTATAATGCTTTTTAAAAAATGCTTTCAGATATCAGTTTGATTGCTAGTCTTTTGTACAGAGAAAGTATAAAATCTCTGGCAATACATAAATCCTAATATAAAACCACCAAATCCAAAATCAAAATCTGTAAGGGCTGATTATTTGTATTTTTATACATTTATGGGGTAAGTCAATACGAGAAGCCAGCGTGGGCTGCAGCTGAGCAGGAGGAGGATACAGTCATGGATGTCAGAAAGAGGGATTGTCAAGTTCTACCCTATGCAATGTGCAAGACATGCTTTTGCTGTATGTTTGTCACATGTGAGCATTACAGGGACAAATGTGGAGGGGGCGAAGTAGACAGTAGGACGGGTAGGGCCTCTCACTATTCACAGGGTCTCTCACTATTCAATATACACATGTTGCATAGCTCACAATATGATATTATCACAATATGGCAATAAATGCGATAATTGATATATTGCACATGATACTCTGTGATACTCTTGCTGTTTTTTAAGAACTAAATACATTTTATGAACAATATTTCACTGTTAAACCACTACCTGTACAAACTGAATATAAAATACATCTATTTTAATCACTCAAGGGCATTGTATAATCTAGTTTCCTTCCACTAAATAAACAACAAAATTGTATTCCTGTCACAAAAAGAAAGCTAAAAGATCCCAAAAATACTTGCAGATATATCGATATAGCAACCTATGATAATGATACTGCATCACCATATTTAGTATCACGATATATATCAATGTTTTGATATTTTTGCACACCTCTAATATCCAGTAATACTTCAGAACCTTAACACTTATTCTGTACAACAGATAGTTTATTAGGAATGATTCCTGTATAATAACTACTTAACTAACTCTTACTAAGCCCGAATGATTCTTAATTGACTATTTCTGATTATGAATCAAGTCTCATGTTTTATTAAAGGTGTGTTGTGTAACTTTCCTGGTGGAGGATTTGTCAAATACTTGTCTCCATGGAGATGTTATTGCTTTGCTTGGAATGTTCCATGGTGTGACATTAAGCATATCCATCTAGCATTTTTTCATTACGGGTGTTTTTATTGCTTAATAATATTATAATAATTCTTTCTGTGTATAGAGGCAATTCTCCACAGATCTGAATTGTAATGTAGGGTAGTTCTGTAACCTGTTTGTCTCCCTTGTGATAGATAGCTTTAATCTATACTGTGGAACATTTGAGACAGATGTAACATTTCCATGGAGATAAGAAGGTGGCGGACCATCCACTAGAAATGTTACCTGTGCACCTTTAAGGCATAGTAATATTTTGCAGTTATTATAAAGTAGTGCCGGATATGCCATCACTGGTTGTGTTACATAAATTGTTTGTGCTTGAGATTCAGCAGACAAAGGATAACTGGAACAAGTTTTATACCCATAAGTTGCTGGCAGCGCTGGCAGCTGAAGTGATGAATAAGTGACAATGCTAGGACACAGACTGCCCATCAAACTTTGTCAAAACGCAATCATAAAATCCCTCAAGGACAGTGTGTAGCCAGGGCAAATTGCATTGCATTGCTTATTGATAAGGAACAACCTCACTGCGGCAGAGACAGGGGAACGTCACAAAAGGGCTTGGGCCAAATAAAAGGATCACTAGCTGCATTTTTAGAGTGCTTCTTAAAAAATTGAAGTCGAATACATTTATTCAACTGTTATTTCCAAGCATTCACTTGAAGCATCTTACCGTATTACAAAAAAATCTCTTGTAGTAAGTTCAGTGAAGGACATGCAATGAATGGTATGAGTCAGTAGATTCATTCATATCTATTATTAAGCACCCACCCACAAATCCGCACTGAACTTAGAGCACCTTTTAGTTCATTAAACCCCTGCAAGTGTCTGACCCAAAAACACACCTACCTTATATCATACTAGTAGTGCAGACATTTGAAATGATCATTATTAATCAGCACAGACACTAGAGGTCATGTGACACCAATGCAAATATGCTGTTAATCACTTCAGTTGTCATTTTTATGAGAGAACCAGACTGAACTTGGACCTTTTAAGTACTTGCATGGAACCTGACAATAGGCAAGGCATTGTCAGTAGTATTTATTGAAACTAAGAAGATTTAAAGCAATGTCCATTTTCACCCTCTGTCATGTGAAGGTGACATGAGTCCACAGATGTGAAGAAATGCATTGGTAATGAGAAGGCAAGTGCCGCTATTAGGGATCACAGCCATATGAATGTTTAAGGGACTTGAGGCTGAATATTTATGAAAGCCATGCGGGCAGTTTTATTCCCTGTAGAATAGTGCTTCTTAAACATGTCCAGTTTAGAAGATTAAAGCATTCAAATATAATAAAAATAATCTGTAAACATAAACTAAACACCAATTAAAGTCCCATATTACACTATTTTCTGAGATGTTATAATGTCATTTTTTCGCCATAAACATACCTGGAATTTTGTTGAGTTCTTCTCTCAAGCAGAAAAGACTCTCTTCCACCTTGTGATGTCATGTGGTACTACAGGAAATGCTCTGCTGTTTTAGAACTAGAATAAACCTTCACTAGAATCATTTGGATAATTTTATTCATCATTTGGAATTGCCTATCTCTATTGAATTAAAGGTAAAAGGTAAAGTTAACTTACTACTGCTCGATGACATCACAAGATGGAATAGGGCATTTTGAGCTTTTGAGATGTAGACAGTTTAATAATAAAAGGTTACTCAGACATGTGTAAATGAAACAAAACTCAACTCCAGGTATGTTTTTGTGGCTTAAAGCTCACAAGAGTCATTTTAGCGTAATATATGACCTTTAAGCACAACACAGGGAATATGACCAGGCCAGTAGTGCTGTAAAAGGGTTTTGTTAAAGGCAAATATATACTTAGCTCTGTGCTATAGCCATTGATGGGGATACTCTCTGTCCCCATTTAGTGTTGTTTACTGCCACCTAACACACAAACTAATGACTAGTCTCGTAACTAAACCTAGACTAGATCAGGACTAAATCAGGACCAAACTTGTCTTGAAACGGGACCAAACAAGAGCTTAATGAACTTCTACCTGCACCACAAAATCTCTAAATCAATTCTAGGATGCAAACAGACTAAACAAAAGACACAAAAGACCTAATCTAGGACAGATCCAGAACTGGGAACAAACTTAAAGGTGCACTATGTAACATTTTGTTTGGAGGTCTGTTACCTGCTTGTTTCTATGGATGTGTAATTCTTCTGCCTGGAATGTCTCACAGTATGACATTACACAGCTCTACCTTACATTTATTCAGTTGCAGATGGTTTTATAGCTCAAAAATGATAATATCTGACCTGTGACTTGGTCTGGTTTGGTGTTCATTAATATAGAAAAGTTTAATACCATACTGTGATACATTCAGGACAAAACAATAACATCTCCATAGAGAAAAGCATTTGATGGGCCCTCCACCAGAAAAGTAAAACAGTGCATCTTTAATCTTAAATCCGGAGCTAATCCAGGTCCACACTCTGCCTTTATTGTCCATATCTCTAAATAAAATCCTGTCCAATAGAACTGTTACTTACCCCTGAGTCCCACTAGCCCAAGTCCATGTCCCCACAGCTTAAATTTACTAGCCAAATTTACTAGTGCTGATTAGGCATGTGATTGACGGCATACGGACTGTGTTTCGAGGCAACCATAAAAAAGAACACTGTGGTTCTTATTCACTCTTTTATGGCTCTCCTCGTGGCGGTACATCCATGGCTATAAAACAACCTGGTCCGCATTCCCCCTAGTAAGTCAATTTGCGTTACTATTCCATATCCCTATCTTTATCTATTCTCAAATTACTACCTACAGTACTGTACACCATTGTGGTTTTGGTGGTCTTGCTTAGGCCTTGTCACATGAGCCAGTGGAGATATATGGTAGCCCTCGTGGGACGT